TTGAGAACAGAGCGGGCTCCCTAACCACTCACGCCCAAAGGGCTGGTGGGATTGATAAGGAGCAGTGATCAAACCCGAAGGGCGGCCGTAAGCCCTCGCGTTCCGCCCTCCCACCACATGATTAAAAGCCGAGTACCACCAGCCCTTGGAGGGCCTCTTGGAGCCTCGTGGGGACTCTTGGGGGCCTCTTGGGGGCCTCTTGGGGGCCTCTTGGGGGCCTCTTGGGGCCTCTTGGGGCCTCTTGGGGGCCTCTTGGGGGCCTCTTGGGGGCCTCTTGGGGCCGCTTTGGGGGCCTCTTGCCCTGACTCTTACTCCGACTCGTGCAGTTCGCCTTACTCTTACTCTGACTCTTACTCTCACCGTTACTCTTGCTCTGACTCTTCCTCCTCCTCCTCTTCCCTTCTTCCTCGTCCCCCTTGATCTCGCCTCCCAGCTAGGAGCTCTGGTGTTTCCTCGGTCGTGCTTCGTTTTTTTTTGGTCGTGTAGCGTTCCTGACAGTCCAAGACCAGCTCGTCGTCGCCAGTCGCCAGTCGCCTGTCGACCGCCCTCCAGACGCTGTCTCAGATGATGTGGCTCGCCGTGGATGGTCCGTCTGGGCATGGGCGTACGGTGCCGACGCTCTACCATGCGGACCTCGTCCTGGCTCAGAACCACCGCATCGCAGGTCCTTCGGAGGTCAATTGTTATGAGTTCGGCACGGTCTCGGTCAAGTACAGCTTGCTGTGGGGATCCCGAGATGGGGCCTGGCTCAAGGTGCTCAAGACGTACTGGAGTGTCCCAGAGCCGGAGTGCCAGCTGATCCTCGGGAGTTGGAACGGCATTTTCAGGCCGTGGCCGGACACGTTCTGGATCAGGACGGGGGGGTCCGAGCCCGAGATGGAGTGCCAGCGCTCTGCAGTACAAGTGCTTTTCAGCATGCGACATCCTGCGGTGCTTCTCAGCCTGCAGGGTTCGCAGCGTGCGGTTTGCAATGCATTCCTTTTCAGTATGCGAGTTCCTGCGGTGTTTCACAGGTTGCAGGGCTCCGAGGCTCTTCGTTTCGATGCCAATGTTTTCAGACACCGTAGCTCCGTTCCGTAAACATCTTCCAAGAGCCGCTCGCAACCTTTTGCAGCTGGCGGTCTGCAGACGTAGTCTGTCTCAGCATGCGAGCTCCCGCACGCTTCGCCGGATTTTGCTGCGCGGACAATTTTCTCACACACGTCAGCGCCGTTTGTAGGCGTCAGAAAAACATGTAGACATTCACGAAGGGCTCAGTCTGTATATCGTCACATCATTACATACGCAGTCGTCGAACACATCGGTGTACATTCAGCGCTTGGTCCTTCTAGCTGGGTTGCTTCGTGCTGAGGCTGAGGCTGATGCAGGCTGAGGCTGAGGCAGGCTGAGGCTGAGGCCGAGGCTGAAGGCAGACTGAGGCTGAAGCTGAAGCAGGCTGAGGCTGAGGCTGAGGCTGAGGCAGGCTGAGGCTGAGGCTGAGGCAGGCTGATGCTGAGGCAGGCTGAGGCTGAGGCTGAGGCTGATGCAGGCTGAGGCTGAGGCAGGCTGAGGCTGAGGCCGAGGCTGAAGGCAGACTGAGGCTGAGGCTGAAGCAGGCTGAGGCTGAGGCTGAGTCAGGCTGAGGCTGAGGCAGGCTGAGGCTGAGGCTGAGGCAGGCTGAGGCTGAGGCTGTGACTGCGACTGCCGTTGCCACTGCGACTGTCATCGCGAATGCGACTACGACTGCGAGAACAGCAGAATTCTACAACTGGATTCTCATCCGAATCTTAAGGGGAATGCTTCCAGATATGCTCCTACACATGGCTGTTAGGTTGCTTTGCCGGGATATTTTTTTGCTTTCTCGCATTTTCGTTCTTGGAGCCGTCTTGGGCCATCTTGGAATCTCTTGGGGCCTCTTGGGGGTCTCTTGGGAGCCTCTTGGAGGCATCTTGGGCGCTTCTTGGGGCCTCTTGGGGCCCTCTTGGGGCGCTCTTGGGGCGTTCTTGGGAGCCTTCGGGGCGCTCTTGGGGCCATTTTGGAGGATATCTATCAAAGAAGAAGGGAGCCTCAATTAGCGCTGCCCCTCTAGAGTGCCTCGAGTCGCCTCTTGGGCCCCCCCAAGAGGCCAAAATCCTTCCAAAACTTAAGGAAAATCATTTGTTTGTGTTTTTTGTTTTTTTCGCTCTTGGAGCCGTCTTGGGCCATCTTGGACGCTCCAACGCGTCGCGACCGGCCCCGTCCAGGTCAGTGTGGAGGGATAAGGGGAGGGGTAAACCCCTCCCCGAAGGGGAAGAAGGAGGTTGGCAGAGGAAACGCTCTAGACCACCTACGCCCTAAAGGGCTGGTGGGATTCCCCTCCGCCAGTCTCCTCCTCTTCTTCCCCCGAGGAGGAGGAGGAGGGGAGGAGGAGGTGGAGGAGGAAGAGGATTAGGAGGGAGGAGGAGGAGGAGGAAGAGGAGGAGGAGGACACTGCGCTGTCGACACTACGCTGTTGACACTGCGCTGTTGACACTGCGCTGTTGACACTGCGCTGTTGACACTGCGCTGTTGACACTGCGCTGTTGACACTGCGCTGCTGACACTGCGCTGTTGACACTGCGCTGTTGACACTGCGCTGTTGACACTGCGCTGTTGACACTGCGCTGTTGACACTGCGCTGTTGACACTGCGCTGTCGACACTGCGCTGTTGACACTGCGCCTGTCCCCGACACCCGCGCCTCATCCCTACCAACTCTCCCTCTCCACCCTCCTCCTCCACTCTCCTGCAGAACCTCAGCGGGCGAGCCGTCTTTCCTGGTATTTCTCTCCTCCTCGCTCCTCCTCACTCTCCTCCTCTACGCTCCCCTCCTCTTCTCCTCTCTCCCACTCCTCCTCCACCGCTCTCTCACCCTCCACTCTTCTCTCTTCGACTCTCCCCCTCCATTCCTCTTCCCCTCAGTCCATGCGGCTTTCTCCTCCGCCAGTCTCCTCCTCCTCTTCCCCCGAGGAGGAGGAGGATGGGGGGGAGGAGGTGGAGAGGAGGAGGATTAGGAGGGAGGAGGAGGAGGAAGAGGAGGAGGAGGACACTGCGCTGTCGACACTACGCTGTTGACACTGCGCTGTTGACACTGCCCTGTTGACACTGCGCTGTTGACACTGCGCTGTTGACACTGCGCTGTTGACACTGCGCTGTTGGTGACACTGCGCTGTTGGAATTGCGCTTCTCATTATGCTTTGTTGACAATAAAGTTGTTGACCAACACTGCGCTGTTGACACTGCGCTGTTGACACTGCGCTGTTGACTCTGCGCTGTTGACACTGCGCTGTTGACACTGCGCTGTTGACACTGCGCTGTTGACACTGCGCTGTTGGAATTGCGCTTTTCATTATGCTTTGTTGACAATAGCGTTGTTGACCAACACTGCGCTGTTGACACTGCGCTGTTGACACTGCGATGTCGACACTACGCTGTTGACACTGCGCTGTTGACACTGCGCTGTTGACACTGCGCTGTTGACACTGCGCTGTTGACACTGCGCTGTCGACACTACGCTGTTGACACTGCGCTGTTGACACTGCGCTGTTGACACTGCGCTGTCGACCCAATTCACCGTGAAGACCTCCTTTCCAATGAATGCATTTGCGACAGCGCGGTTTGGCTGAAGTGCGCAAGCGCCGGTTGCGCTCGTACTTCGTTTTGTGGCGACAGGTGCAGCGGATTCTAGGGCAGTGGACAGGGCATCTTGCAACCTGCAGAATTTCAGAGCCACCTGACCGAATGTCGAGCATCTCTGATAGAATTGTGGCAGGCTTGGAGAGTAGCTTTTAACGGAAGCCGATGGTCTTGCTGCGCTCAAGGCTCAGAGGGCGCAGTTCCCCGAATATGTGACGCTCCCAATCCTCGAATTTGATTCGTTCGCGCATTCAGTTCGTGCATGGACATGGTTGGTTACCACTTTGCAGGGGTGCGCAGATAATGGCCCGCGAAGCCAGGAGGGAACGTTTTAGATCCCCGAGCGCCAGAAGCCAATGGGGGGCGCTCGCCGCAAAGCGCCGACCGGCCGCTTGCGACCGCCATGCGCATGCGACTTCAAGTGGCGGGAAAACAAGTTCCCAGAATGGCAGAGCGTGTGCCAAAATTGGTTCTCGCGATCAGATATTTGAGATTGGCTGTGCACTGCCTGCCACCCAGTGCCACCAGGACGCTGCTTGGGAATGACAAGTAGACACATGCGGGGGAAGTGTCCACCAAAGGCACAGCTCTGGTGGTTCGAGAATTTGAGCACGCGTACCGCGGGGCTTACGTACTCGGGTTTTGACACAAGTGCCCCTGGTCCAGGGTGACCCCAGGATTTCCAAGGATGCCCCACAGCCTGGACCCCTCACGAGGCCCAGGGGTCTGCAGGGCTCCAGAATGGAGCGAAAAGCTGGGGGCATTATCGGCCAGGGGCACCTTTAGCAACCCCCAACTCATGTAAAATGCGGTTGTTTGGAAACGGGTGCGGCCGCAGTTTGCTGAGCGTTTGTCCCAGCCAACTGCAGCAAGTAAGGGACGAGGCCTTGTTCCAAGTGGCTAGAGGTTTGCACCCAGGCACGACCGCGAAAACGAACATTTCAAATGCGGCTCGCGGTGCTTTCGGTAGCCGCCACTCCCAGAAGTGATGGTGTCCTCCCCTGTTCTTCCCTCCCCCTCTCTTCGATCGGTCGTTGACCGCTCTTGCCCCTCCTCCTTTCTCCGCTTCCCTCACCCCCCCTCCGCCCATGACCCTCTACATCGCTTTCTCCTCCATTCCCTTGCCCCTTCCCCCGCTGCCAGCAGCCCCGCAATATCGCAGTCGACGTCCTCCTTCAACTGCTTCTCGTCGTCTGAATACGCCTCCCCGTCCCTCCCCCTCCCTGCACCTTTCACCTCATCCTCCTTCTCCTCTTGGTCATCCGTCGTCTTTCCTTCCCCTCCACCCCGCCTCCGCTCATCCCCCGTCCGCCCCCTCGTCACTCTCATCTTTGTCCTCGTGGCCTGAGTTGACCCTGGCCGTGGCAGGCTCTGGCGCGCGAGCGGCTGGGGCCTCGCACGGTGCTCAACGATTGCGTGGTCATCGGGGACTTCGAACCCAATCTGCCACGGCGATTCCTGGGGCAGACTGGGAGCAGCCACAGACACAGCGCCAGTCGGGTCTGATTTCCTCTTCGTTCCTCTGATTCTGCGTCATCCTCTTTGTCCTCCTACCCCTCCTCTTCCTCTCCACCCACCCGTACGTAGCCAATGTGGCTCAAGATGTCAACTTCCTCAGGGGAACACGTGAACACCGCTGATCCGCAGCAGGCAAGGCTGTTCAGCCTGGTTGTGATTTCTCGTTTGTGTCTGCGCTGCAGGAGTTATGTCCCTGCCAGCTTTCACTGCAGGAGTTGGGCGCCAGAGAGCTTCCACTGCAGGACTTGGGCTCCTGCCGCAGGTGTACGAGTCAGATGTCGTGGCGTGCGGGGGCCCCGTGGCCCCAGGGACGCAGGGGGCGGTATGACAAAGGTTTCGGTTATGGTTGCGGCAATCGTGGGGGCGGCGATGGCGGTCGCAAGTCTCGTGATCAGTCCTACTCGGTGTGCGGCAGGTGCGGCCACTGGGAGTTCGACAAGTATGGCCAGTGGCCCGTGGGCGCGCAGCAAGTGTAGATCCTAGTGCCTCGATCCAAGCGATGTGGACGCCCAGGACGCCGACCCCAGAAGGAGCAGCTCGCGTGACCTCGCGGAGCTGGCCAATAAGTACGCCCACATGTCACATGTCAGAAAAGTTTGGTGCGATGGTCAAGGACGTGAATATTGAACCACGAGGGCAGCCTCCTGAGCCCACGAGCGAGAATGATTTGGAGAATATTGTGTGATCTAAGCGTGCGCGCAAGTGAATAAGGAGGTCGAGATCCAGTCTCGTGGTGAACGAATCGCCCAAGGTCATGTCGAGGGTTGTCTCTATGCTGTCGTGCGTCATCGTGCAGCTTTGGCTCAGGCTGGAGCGAAATACGGCAAGGCATTGGTGTGTTCTCGGTGGAGGCCTATCGTCGTGAGTCGCGTGCTGAAGAAGATCGCAAGCTTGCTGAAGCCCAGCGTGCCTTTTCACAAACTCAGGAGGCTGCGATGGAAGCTGCCCGTGCGTCCTGTTGCTCTACCTCCTCGGGCTGTTGGGGCGCCAGCTGGTGCTAGTGCTGGTGCTGCCCCAGTTCCTGCTGATCAAGCACCTGCCGGAGGCACGGCACCACGTGCTGATGGAGCCCCTGGGCGGGCTGCGGCGGTGACAGGTCGTCCCCCCAAACCTGGTCGGCATGGTGGAGGAGGTGTTCAAGCAGCGGTGCGCCGAGAATCATCAATATTTGGAGTTCTGGGGCGAGGTGCGACGTGTCCAAATTATAATGTGCGCCTGAAGCGAACGGTTGGGCCGATTTGTTTTTTCAGAAAGTTCGGGGAACGCTCTGCGACAATTGTTTCCCCAACCATCCTGTGGTGTTGGGTCCTCGTTTTGAAGAGACGGTCCCCGCGTTCTCCTTCCTTCCCCCCTCCTCCCCCTCCTCCCTCCTCTCATCATCGTCATCATCCGTTTCAGCACACCCATCACACGTTTCGTGGCCCCTATCGGGAGCTCCATCGAAGGCCCAAATGCTAGCGTTCGCATGCGCCCGCCGTTCCCATTTTTGCACACCCTTCACACGGCTCGTGGCCCCATAGGGAGCCCTACCGAAGGCCCAAATGCCAGCGTTCGCATGCGCCCGCCGCACATCTTTTGGTACACCCTTGACACGCTTCGTGGCCCTACAGGGAGCCCCACCGAAGGCCAACATGCCAGGGTTCGCATGCGCCCGCCACACTCATTTTGGCACACCCCTTACACGGTTCGTGGCCCTACAGGGAGCCCCACCGAAGACCCAAATGCCAGCGTTCGCATGCACCCGCCGCACCGTTTGCACGCGCCCGCCGCACCCATTTTGGCACATCCCTCACACGGTTCGTGGCCCCACAGTGAGCCCCACCGAAGGCCCACATGCCAGAGTTCGCATGCGCCCGCCGCGCCCGATTGTGGCACACCCTTCACACGGTTCGTGGCTCCATAGGGAGCTCCACCGGAGGCTCAAATTCCAGCGTTCGCATGCGCCCGCCGCACCCGATTTTGGCACACCCCTTCCACGCTTCGTGGCCCCATAGTGGGCCCCACCGAAGGCCCAAATGCTAGCGTTCGCATGCACCCGCCGCACCCGATTTTGGCACACGCCTCCCACGTTCCGTGGCCCCACAGGGGGGCTCCATCGAAGGCCCGAATGCCAGCGTTCGCATGCGCCCGCCGCGCTCATTTTTGGCACACCCCTCACACGTTTCGTGGCCCCACAGGGAGCCCCACCGAAGGCCCACATACCAGCGTTCGCATGCGCCCACCGCGCCCATTTTGGCACAGGCTTCACACGTTTCGTGGCCCCACGACGAGCTCCTCCGAATGTGGTGCGTACAGCGACGGGATTCACAATTGCATATGGTTTGGTCCTTCGCCAGGCTAATGTTCTCAACCATCCTGTGGTGTTGGGTCTTTTTTTCAAGAGACGGCGCGGGGCCTTTGCCCTCCGCACAAGGTAACAATTTCGGCACACCCCTCACACGGCCCGTGGCCCCATCGGGAGCTCCACCGAAGGCCCCAGCGGTTGCGTTCGCATGCGCCCACCGCACCAATTTCGGCACACCCCTTACACATTTCGTGGCACCATAGGGAGCTCCACTGAATGCCCGAGTGGTTGCGTTCGCATACGCCCGCGGCACCAATGTCGGCACACCCCTCACACCTTCCGTGGCCCCACAGGGAGCCCCACCGAAGGTCCTGGTGGCTGCGTCTGCATGCGCAACCATTCCAACACACCCCTCGTACGCTTCGTGGACCCACAGGGAGCTCCACCGAAGGCCCGAGTTGCTGCGCTCGCATGCGCCCACCGCACTCATGTTGGCACACCCCTCACACGGCCCGTGGCCCCAAAGGGAGCTCCACCGAAGGCCCCAGTGGCTGCGTTAGAATGCGCCCGCCGCACCGATTTCGGCACACCCGTCATACGCTTCCTGTTCCCATATGAGAACTACACCGTAGGCCCCAGTGGCTGCGCTCGCATGCGCCAGCCGCACCCATTTTTGGCACACCCCTCACACGGTTCGTGGCCCTACGGGGGCTCCACCGAAGGCATCAGTGGCGCGCTCGCATGCGCCAGCCGCCCCAATTTCGGTACAGCCCCCACACGCTTCGTGGCCCCATAGGCAGCTCCACCAAAAGCCCCAATGGCTGCTTTCGCATGCGCCCACCGCGCCAATGTCGGCACACCCCTCACACGCTTCGTGGCCCTATGGGGAGCGCCACCGAAGGCCCCAGTGGCATGCGTTCGCATGCGCCCACCGCACATATTTCGGCACACCTGCTACACGTTTGGTGGCCCCATAGTGAGTTCCACCAGAGGCTCCAGTGGGTTCGTTCGCACGCGCCCACCGCAAACATTTCGGCACACCAGTCACGCGCTGTGTCGGCCCACAGGGAGCTTGGCACTCACAGCTTCGGTCTTCATAGCTGGAAATGCTTGTGTCCTTCGCTAAGCTAATCTTGTGTGTTGTATATGTAGGTATATTGTTTCATTGTGGTGGCATGTGCCCACGGAGTCCTGTGCGATCATATGAACCATTACCAGGTACTGCATTTCAGAGTTGTTCTGCGAAATTGAACCTACTATCTTTGCAGCATGCACAAGGCTTTGCAAATCCGCATGGAACACATGAGGAATTCCAGTTTGCAATATGCGTTTTACAACAACAACATGTTTTGTTTTACCAACCGGGTGTTGGAAACATCGTGAAATTGTCTACGGTCACTTGCACAGGCATCAACAATAGTACCGATCCAGTAGGAAGCTACCCGTTCAGTGCGATGGTTTGTTGTTGGGAATCGTATGATCGAACGTGAAACTGTTTATGTATGCATGACAACCCAGTAGAGCATCTATGTATATGTATGTATGTATGTATGTATGTATGTATGTATGTATGTATGTATGTATGTATGTGTGTGTATGTATGTATGTATGTATGTATGTATGCATGCGACTCCAATGACATAGCGCGAACCGCCCAATCTGCACGATTTCCTGTAAAGGAATGTCAAAAACACGAACCAAGCAGTTGCCCCAATACGTACCAAGCTTATCTCCAAAGTTATATTGCAGCATGTCTATGGCATCCAGTACAATCGCATGGGCACCATGGTGGTGGATATGTTTGTTCGTGAAACAGATCACGGAGGCATTAAACGGTTTCAAGTATGCGCAAAGCCGTGAATTTGCATCTGCAAGTTGTACAGGGAACATCATGCTTTTTTTGAGGAGCGTCATGTCGGAATTTGAATGTAAATGTTGCGTTAGTCGCGGAGTCAGAAACAGCCATATGAACACGTCGTCGTCTGAACAATTTAAGGGCCACCCGCCTTTGCGGAGACATCAAGGTTCATGAAACGAGGCAATGGCAACCTTTAAAACAAAATCCATGCTGCGGCAATAACATCGCAGTTGGGAGACTATGACTTAATATTCGCGGTACCATGTATATCATCATGGGGAATCGCGCGTTTGATGTTTGCCTGTGCCGAAACACGAATGCGAATGTGATGGGATAAGGCCGTATCCGGTCTGTAAGCAGTCATGACAACATATGGAAAGTGCACAACGATGTTTCCTACCAGTGTTTGCACCTAGGGGTTCGTACTTCTGTTATGGGGTACTTGGCCGCGTCTTCGGCCTTGCGGCTATGTGTCCGTAGTCGCCGCCCCGTAGCCGCTTCGCCGTTGCTTGTGGTCGGGGCCTTGTCTTACGGTCTGGCGGCTACGCGGCCCCCGTCGCCGCCTCGTCGCCGCCGCACAGGTTGTTCTACATAGACTGTGCATCATTGGTTCTCCGAAAAAAAAACGGGTCTACCCCCCGCCCTCCCCCAGCGCCCCCCGAGGATGTGCAATTTACATGTGAGTATGCCCTGTTCATAATTCGTATGATCCCAGCCGAGCCGTCTCGACCCCCTCCCCCACTCATCTCATGCAACAAATACAATGCGCGCGCATTTCTTCTTCAAAGATTTTCTTCAAGAACCCATTTGCAAACATATCCTGGCGAAGGACCCGACCACATGCAGTTGTGAGTACCGCAGGGCAGGCGGGACGATCCAGGGGGAACCTCCCTATGGAGCCTTGAACCGCATGATACGGCCGAACCGCGGGAGGGGCGTGCCAATATAGGGCCAGTACCGCATGCGGGCTGTGGAGAGACGCATGCGATGACGGCCGTTGTGATCTTCGGTGGAGCTCCCTGTGTGGCCACGAAACGTGTTAGAGGCGTGCAGTTGTTCGCTCCAGACCTGTTTCGGAAGGTCCCTGGGGCCCGAAGGCGGGCCCCACACCAATTACGCTACCGAGGAACCCCACACACTTATATGTCTGGCGTGGTGATAGCTGAAGTGGAACATGCGAGAATCATGGTGGCCGTTGCCCCGCCGATACCGTTGGGGACGCCTGTGAAGCCTTGGGGGCCTGCCGCGCCTGCCGTGCCCTGCGAGCCTGGAAGGTATAGAGATCGCGTTCGGGGGCCAGCACCCTTTTGGAGGCGAGAAGATGCAACGCCTGCCTGGCCCTGCGAGCCTGAAGCGTATGGAAACCGGGCTCAGGGACCACCCCTTGCGTACCCGCTCCGGTGTCGAGAAAGGGTCATTTCTGCAGTGCATTGCGAGCTTGGAGCGTATGGAGATCACGCTCAGAGACCACACCCTGCGCCCCCCCTCTAGAATTGAGAACGTGCTGCGCCTGCCGCGCCCTACGGGCCAGGAGCGTATAGAGACCACGTTCAGAGACCACACCTTGCGCACCCCTTCTGGTATCAAGAGTTTGCCATGCCTGCCGTGCCCTGCCAGCCTGGAGCGTATAGAGACCACGTTCAGAGACCACACTTTGCGCACCCCCTCTAGAATCGAGAACCTCCCACGCCTGCCATGCCTTCGGAGCCTGGAGCGTATATAGAGACCGCGCTGAGGGACCACCCTTGCGCACCCCCTCCGGTGTCGAGAAGATGCCATGCTTGTCGTGCCCTGCCAGCCACGAGCGCGCTCTTTGATATGAAGCTATCTATAATAATATGAATCTGTATGTGCATAGTTGTATAGGTAGATGACCTATTGCGTATACAAACAAGTTGTGGGTGTGGGATGCTTGCGCGAGCAGTGGAGTAGGAACCGCCCGTGCCATCAGTCAATTGGATCCCGCATCTGGTGCCGCACTCACACGCAGTGAACCCTATGTGTTGCACCGTGCTGGTTGTACCACATTTATTTCAACGCGCACAAGTTCGGCCAGAATTATCGTACAGCGATCGTGCAACTAGTCGCTGTATATCAAACACGTAGTTCGCCGAATCAGTCTAAAGGGGTTGTGGTTTGTTTCTAGTTTTCGCCCGTAGCGGGAACGCCTTTGTATGGCCAAAGGGGCGTTCAGCAAGAGCGACCAATGGCACAGCAGGATGGTTAGGGTGGAGATTGGCTGTGGTTCCGCCGACGAGATGAACCGAAGCCACGGACACCACAATCTCTGTCTTGCGCGCCCGCTGGCTGATTGCACTCGCAGGGTGGGAGGGAGTATCTCTCGGGGTTTCGGGATGAAGCCAGTGTATCCACAATGGTTATCGCATGTGAAAGATCGGGACGACGGGGGCAGGGTAAAGCCTGAACCCCGCCTCCTCCTCCATAGAGACGCACCGCCTGGCTTGGAACACGCTGGTGGGCTGCAGCTGGGGCAGATCTAGCCCTACGCGGCGCGCAGCGACGGCCTTGGCCGCCCGTCGTCGGGAACCCTCCGCCCTGTTCCCGGCAATCCCCTCCTCTTGGCTGCTGGTGAGCCTCATCCCTCTCCCTCCCTGTACGGGGGGAGGGGGGGGGAGGGGGCCAGGCTGTGTGTGAGGGGGGGGGGAAGGGCCCAGCCAGGGACACGGCCACGCTAGCAGACTCGGGGTGGAGAGGAGCGGAGAAGGTAGGGAGCATGACAAATAGTATTCCTCGTCGCTGGGATGCGGGGGCACATGCACATGAGCACGAAGGGAGCGCCCAGGGAGATCAAACCTCGTGCCTCGCACTCTGTGGGTCTGTCCAAATTGGGCACAGTCTTGTGTAATGCTATCATCGCTCTCGAGATGTGTATTTATTAGCGGAGTAACCGAATTTGCCAACTCGTCGGCCATTGCATGTTCAGATGGCACGGAGTCTTGTCAAGACTCTTCCAAGACAGCCAGATTAGCAGCGGAAGTCCCCTCGCCCATCACACGGGTGTAACGCTTATGAGGTTTCGTCCGAACTCCGTTCGGTTCTCGATGTTTTCCAGAGAACTGCCCGGGCGCGACGCCCGTGGTCGCGTCCACCTTCTCGGCCGAGTCAAGCCGCTCGGACATAGTTGAGGTCCAGATTTGCAACAGGGTCGTGGGCTTCATGGCCGATTGACCACAAATATTGGCACATGGAGCAGCCACAAGTGCCCGAGCCGTCCGAGTGTGCCATTTGGGAGGCGCACGAAATTCCCAAATGGCTTCCTCGGGTTGCTCCTTGAGGCCATGGGCGCCCACAACACACCGACAAATTGGACCAGAAACAAGTGGACGAGAACAGCTGAGACCCAATGAAGAGCTGTTGGTGCTGCATAAGGGTAGAATGGCAGGGAGGACTGGGTGAGGGGAGGGGGTTGTATCCAAGGGGCGGAAACTGGGAGGGATCCGCAGCAAGCTTGCCCTACATGCTCTCGGTCGCTTCTCCTGCCCCAGCCCTGGCGCGTCTCCAGGCAAGAGCTGCACCGGGACATCCGGCGCGAGGTCCCGCGGGCGCGCCCGCACCCTTCGGGGAGCGGGCCACGCGCGGAGCGCGTCTGTCACTCTTCTCCCCCGCTCTCTCGTTGTCCTCCCTCGAGGACGGTTCGACGCATTGAGAAGGCCTTTCGCGGCCAGTGATGATATGTCTGTCACGGGGGTGAATGGACGTTGCGTTTCCTGCCGACGTGCATGAGGTTGGCAATGTCAAGGGATGCACATATCACGCGTGCTGGAAGCTGGATTTCCGGGAACAGGAATGGGGCCCAGCCCGTAGGTAATTGTTCGAGGCCCTCAATCCAAGAAGCGAAGGAGACATTAGCTTCTGCTCGAGCATGGTAGTCTCCAAGATCCGAACTCAGCCGCTGAAGAGATGCTCACATGGAGGCATCGCGCCCACCGTCCCCGCCTAACCGCTGCCTGGTAGGCTTTTCTTGCGGTGACACAGGTCAGCCACAACCCCAACCGCCAATACGCTGGCCAAAGTTGGGGACCCGAAAGGTATGTTTGGGCTTACGTCGGTACCCCTGGAGCTCTTGGCGAGGCACGGCGGACGGGACGACTCTGCGACCACCCCCGGCGATCTAAAATCTTTCGGCGACTCTCTGGACTGAGGGGTTAAACGCCGTCCGGCGCGAAGGCACAAACATCTCGTTCAGAAGCTCATGGCTCATGGAATGTGGCAGAAGTGTTTGATTGGCATCTCTTGATGGTGAAAAATGCCCGGACGGCAGGCCGTCGACTCCACCACCTATGGCCTCTTGGTGCCCCTGTCCGACGGCGCGCGCCTGCATGTGGTGCCCGGCAGCCACTCCCCGCGCGACGCCTTGCGCGGGACATTCAGGCATGACGAGGTGGTGTGCGTCGACGTGCCCCCAGGCCCTCCCCTCCTCCACCGTCTTCTCCTCCCTCTCTTTCGCCCTCCGACTGTCAAATGGTGCCCCGCTCGTAGACTTGGAAGATTGGTCAATGGTCCCTCGCCCTCTTCATCTTGCTCTTTTCTTTTTCCTCGTTCCTACTCCGCCTTCTTCGCCTCCTCCCAAATCGCTCCCCGCGCTTTGCTCATCCCTCTTCTCTCCTTCGTCATTCGTCCTTCATTCTCCCTGCTTGCGCCTCGTCCTCGCGCTTCCCACCACCTCAGACCTCCCGCATTCTCCTCTTCCGCCTCTTCGTCCTCGCCCTAATGATCCCTTCTTCGCATAATTTTTCATTATTCCTCCACCCTGGTCCGCCGTCTGCCCCATCCCCCTAGTCCCTCCTCTCGACGAGGAGTGGATGGCGACAAGGAAGGGCACGATTGGAGTAGTCTTTGGCGTATGATCAGGAAGAGGAGTCAGTCTAGCCAGCTCGACCGAGTTGGTGGTCCCCGCTAACTCACACCCACCCCCACATAACAAGACTCAAAGCCGGCACAACTAGCATTGGTAGTATGCATGTGGTATCACTTGGCGAACGAAGACGCTCGCGCTCGCGCCGCCATGCTTCGGACGGGTTGCCGCGGAAAAGATCGCCGTGGCAAAAGCAACGCGCAATCTGTATGATTCCTGGGCCTTAAGGCACAAGCAGCATTTCGATCACTCGCGCGCGACCCCAAGTCTGACGAGTTGGCAAGGGAGAAACATGCACTGCGCCCAGCACCGAATGCAACCTTCAGGCATCCCTTGGGTTCTGAGGAACAGATGTGATTTGTTTGCGCGCAGCCCTGCTCCCGACTACTCGGCACAAGAACAACGCACGCCACGGAAATGCGGGAGCGCATTGTTCAGCGGAGAGGTGCGCTGTGCGGCATCTCGCTCCTCGCTCTGATTGGCGCGTTCTCGCCTCCAAAAATTTGGCGGGCAACAAATATGCGCCGCGCGCAAACGGGAATGCAATGTTTTGAAGAAGTCGGCACGGCGCTGTGGCGAGGGCGACTTTACGGGGTCTCGCGCACGGCTTCGCTTCTGACGGCTTTGCGGGAAAGGAATAGAGTCCGCGCCCAAGCGCCAGCGCAAGTTTCACGGGAAAGGCTAGGCAGAGCGACATTTCGACGCCGCGTACGCCTCGTGCCGCGCATTATGCAACGTCCGAACGCACATGTTGACAGAGAAACCGCATAGTCGTTTTTATGTTGTCGCTTCTGTTTGCAGGACCGACGGGCCCATTCCGTCGTCATCGGGACGACAGTGCGGAGAGTGGGAATTTGGAGTAGGAGCGTGAGCGCAGAGCGCCGTAGGAGTCAAGACAGCCGGCTCGAGCTGGGCACAGACCCCATTCATTCCCACCTTTTTTACATTGAAAGTTTCGGCGAGGACAAGACTCAAACTTGTCCGTCCCACGATTCCTCAAACAGCGTCTTCCCGCCCACGATTTTTCTCGCGCGGTTCAGAGTGAGTGTTTCCCATCTTTGTCATGCAGATCGTGACGTTGAAGAGTGGCAATATTTGTCAGCCCTTTCACACACAGCCAAGTTCCCTTGAGGGACTGGCGAAGCCAATACATGCCCAAGCGGGAGCGAGAATAACAGTTCGGTCTTTCGCGTGCGATGTGCGATCTGTCCTACCCTTGTCGCACATTCTCCCACGCCGGCAGCACGCATATTCTGCCACGCCGGCAGCCGGTTTCTTGAACGGTAGGATGGAAGTCCCGCTTTGGGAGGCTGAAGGACTGACAGAATGGAGCGTGGGAGTAGTTCGTCTTTCCCCAAACAGTGCTTGCATTAAGGGGCTATAAGTGGGTGGCACTTAGGCGTTTCCGTCTGGTGCCTCCAACGTGGCCGCCTCGTGTGCGCCCCGTTCCTTGGCTAGATTTGTTTGGTTATCGCCAGGTGCCCGCTGGTGGTCTCCTCGTGGTCGCCGCGCGCGTTGTCTGCATGTTGTAGTTTGCACCGCATCGATTGCACTCCGAAGCTTGCACCGCATTGCTTTTTCCCAGAAGAAGATCCGACCTTACCCCATGCCGAGGCCAGATTGAGAGGTACCCTCAGGGTATTGTCTTTTCAATGGTGTAGAGTGATCCTCAAGCGAGTGTTTCAATTATCTTTGTCACATGAAAGCGTTCGGGCCACGCTCGCGCCCCCTCGCGCGAGCATGCCATAATCATTTCAGAACCACTGGCTTCCCAAGCGCTCTGGGATAGAAAGCCATGGGCCCCCCTGCCATCCCTGTGAAACTGAACCATGCGGGGCCCACGCGCGCCACCGCGCGCGCATGCCGAAAACATTCAACATTATCTTGGCGAAGGACCCAACCATATGCAGTTGTGGGTAGCGCAATTGTGAGTATCTTCTTCGGTGAAGCTCCATTTGGGGCCACGAAGCGCTGCACTGGGTGGGGGGGGTGGGCGCATGCGGGCGGTAGCACTGGGGCCGTCGGTGGAGCTCCCTATGGGGCCACGAAAGCGCTGTATTGGGTGGGTGAAAATGCCAAATTTGATGTGTGAGACGCATGCGGGCGGTCCCACTGGGGGCTTCGGTGGAGCTCCCCATGGGGCCACGAAACGTATGAGATGTGTGTGCCAAATTGGGCTTCCGGGGCGCATGCGGACAGTCCCACTGGGGGCGTCGGTCGAGTTCTCAATGGGGCCACGAAACGTTGTACTGGGTGGGTGAAAATGCCAAATTGGGCTTCCGGGACGCATGCGGACAGTCCCACTGGGGGCTTCGGTGGAGCTCCGTATGGGGCCACGAATCGCTGTACTGGGTGGGTGAAAATGCCAAATTGGGCTTCCGGGACGCATGCGGACAGTCCCACTGGGGTATTCGGTGGAGCTCCCCATGGGGCCACGAATCGCTGTACTGGGTGGGTGAAAATGCCAAATTGGGTTTCCGGGACGCATGCGGGCGGTCCCACTTGGGGGCTTCGGTGGAGCTCCCCATGGGGCCACGAAGCGTTGTACTGGGTGAGTGAAAATGCCAAATTGGGTTTCCGGGACGCACGCGGACGGTCCCACTGGGGGCTTGCCAGAACGCATGCGGGCGTTCCCTCGGGGGGTTTGGTGGAGCGCCCTATGAGTCCCCGAAGCGCTTTATTGGGTGGGTGAAAATGCCAAATTGGGTTCCCGGGATGCACGCGGGCGGTCCCACTGGGGGCTTCAGTGGAGCTCCCCATCGGGCCACGTTAACGTTGTACTGGGCACGTGAAAATGCAAAATTGGGCTTCGGGGCGCATTCGGACAGTCCCACTAAGGGTTTCGGTGGAACTCTGTATGGGGCCACGAAACGGTGTACTGCGGGTGTGAAAATGCCAAATTGGGTTTCCGGGACGCATGCGGGCGGTCCCACTGGGGGGTTCGGTGGAGTTCCCCATGGGGCCACGGAACGTATGAGGGGTGTGCAAAATCGGGCTTCGGGGCGCATGCGGACAATCCCACTGTGGGTTTCGGTGGAACTCCGTATCGGGCGCCACGAAACGCTGTACCGGGTGTGCGAAAATGCCAAATTGGGTTTCCGGGACGCATGCGGGCGGTCCCACTGGAGGGTTCGGTGGGGGCCCCCATGGGGCCACGAAACGCTGTACTGGGTGGGTGAAAGTGCCAAATTGGGTTTCTGGGACACACGCGGGCGGTCCCACGGGGGGGTTCGGTGGAGGTCCTTCTGGGGCCACGAGGCGTTGTACTTGGTGGGTGAAACGCAGGGGGGAAGGGGAGGGGGAGGAAAGAGGGAGGAGGGGGGAGAGACGCGGGGACCGTCTCTTCACAACGAGGACCCAACACCACAGGATGGTTGGGACTTCCTTAAAGTCAGAAGTCGTACAGTTTCCGCGTCGGTCCTGTCAACAAGGAATATGCTGGCCACACGCGCGTGTCCCCGCGTGTGCAAGGCGAAGTAATTCAACGCATTGTGGTTTTGAAGCGTGTCAAAATAAAACGGGTCGAACATATGAAGACATGGATGGGAACGGCTGCTGATTTACCCCGCCGCCTCCCCATCATCATTATTATTCGCTCGCCCGAGTCATGGACCTGAGTGACAAGGGTCTGCGCGTCATTGCGCATGTGGGGGCTCCTTGCAGATTCGGCACGGTAATTGCACCTGTGGCCTCTTTGAGTCCTGCCAACAAGCGTCGGGTGGGTGGATGGGATGTTTTCTCGCGCATTGGGCCTCACGTCTTCCGGCAGTTTCATTGCACCCCATAGGTCCATCATAAAGAATATTAGCTCTCCGCCCCAGGCGAGGCCAGGGCTCAGCCCTTCTACCCTCGCATTGTTTTTTTCAAGTGTTCTGCAGGGTCGCTCCGTTCAACCGACAGAATAACAAGATCACCGGCCAACCGGCGGTACCCCCCCGCCCTGGCATCATGTCAAGTAGTACAATGCGATGTACACGCGCTGTTCTAAGTGGCGCGCTTTGTAGCAATATCTTGCCAACGTATGCCAGAAGCATTTCATAACCATAGTTGCGTAAGTACTCAAAGTTATAGCTCCTCGAAGCGTATCCAAACCTACGGCTTCTCCGTGTTCAAATATTGCTAAGGCCTTACGGCCGGTGCCGCCGACCCTGAAGACGACGACGACGACGAATACGAGGAGGAGGAGGAGGGCGATTAAGGTGGAAGGGAGCAGGAGAAGGCGAAGGAGATGTTCCCCATGTGGGACGAGGGAGTTGTAACAGAGACAGACAGGGAGACTTGTGGCCTGCGGCCCTTCCCGCCACCGTGCTGGGGTTGAGGTTGAAAGGCCTCTTGGATGTTTTCGGGCCTGTTGGGGCCTCTGTTGGACCTCTTTGGGGTCTCTTGGGAGCCTCTTCGGGCCCCTTGAGGGGCTCTTGGGGCCTTCCTGGGTTTTCTTGGGGCGGGAAGCTCGAAATCTCAGTTCGTGGTCGTCTTCTTGGGCCTGCTTGGGGCCCTCTTGGGGCATTCTTGGGCTGCCTTGAGGTTCTCTTGGGCCATCTTGGGGCCCTGTTGGGCTGTCTCGGGGCCTTCTTGGGGGCCGCTTGGGCAGTCTTTGGCTTCTTGGGGGCCTCTTGGGGGCCTCTTGGGGGCCTCTTGGGCCCGAGGGCTCCAAGTGTCCGTTCGCATCCCCGTCTGGGCACGTTCTTGGAGCGCTCCTGGGGGTTGCTTGGGCCGTCCTGGAGGCGTCTTGAGCTGTCTTAGACTGCTCTTGGGCATTTGTGGGACTCTCTTAGAGACCTCTGGGGCCGTCTCGGTATGTTATTGCAAGCCTCTTGGGCCGGTTTGCATCGTCGGGAAGCGGAAGAGGCCAGAAAGCCTAAATCGTTCCAAAACGCATAGGAAGTCAATGCATGTTGCCTCATGGGGGCCGTCTTGGGAGTGATCCTGGATGCTTCTGGGAACGTCTTGCACGCCTCTCGACCCGTCTGCAAGCCGTGAAGGCGTCTTGGACAGATCGTTCGGCGATTCGGGGCACTCTTGGGGGCCTCTCAGGGCACTCTTGGCGCGTCTTGGCGCTTTTTTGCGCTCCGGGACGCCCAGAGGCGGATGCGTATCTGACCCCCTTCTCCCCAGGACCCCCCCCCTCGGCGGGGGAGGGATCCAAGGGAAGGGGCTTCCCTTCGACGTAAGTGCGACGTTGCTACGGTTTTCTCTCGCTGGCAGGCTTGAAGAGGAGGGTGCAGGGAAAGGGGACGACGGAGACGTAGGGAAAGAGGACAACGGATGCGTCGACTGAGCCCACGTCGACAGGGGGTCCACACGCCGACAGGGTCGGCGGATTTAGTGTTTTCAGTGCGCGCGCACCTCCCCCCCGCCCCATCATCACGATCATCATCATCTTCGTCGTTGCCGTTGTCGTTGTAATCATCATCATTCGCCCGCTCGAGCTCTGGATCGGCACGAGAAGAGTTCTCGTGTCACGGCGCCGATGGTGATTGGTTGGGAAGTTCAGATGGATAACTGCACTCACGGCTTCTAGAGTTTAGCCAACCAGTTGCGGGTGGATGGGTGGGATGTCTGTTCGAGCGTGGGAGGTGGTCACGCGTGGAGGCTCACAATTATTTGCATCACATAGATCGTGCACAACCCAGGCTGCATCCAATAGGTTGTATCGCACATCGTGCACATTGAGGGTGCAAGAGCGCGCTGCTCGGGGCCCGCGCTGGTAAACAGAAGGACGAGCTCGAGCGAGCCAGCGGGCCAGCCCACTCCCCACCCTCCCCCTCCACAGCATGAAGACCAACGCTGGCACAGCCGGGAGTTCGGATTAGCACGTGTCTTAACCTGGCGGGCGTCAAGATCTGCACGGTCCGAGCTCGCGTCCCCGCCCCTCTCCCCCTTACCGCCGCCGTCCTCCTTTTCGTTGTTTCCGTTCAGTGCCCAATTCTTGACGCCTCGCGTTTCCCCACCAGTGTGGTTTATCCTACTTCAAGTCCTACACGCCCTCAGCGGTCACTTGTCAGCTTCGCTGTCTGTGACCTTGCCGCGCTATTTTGGCTGCGTGTAGCTCCTTTGTTCACTGTGTGCATCGGCACTGCCCCCGGATCCTGGTCCTGGTTGCAGTTTGCACTGCCCGACGGCAAGGTTTCGGGCCCTGCCCCGCTTCCTGGCACCACCTCGCGCAGCCCGGCAGCTTAGGCAGCTTAGGCAGCTTAGGTTCGGCCGTCGGTCCCCGTGCGCTAGGCAATTAGGTTCGCGCGTCGCCCGCCCGACCTCTGACGCTGCTGGCGCGCTCACCTGCGGCCACGACAAAAAAAGTTCCCCCACCAGCGCATCCAGAAAAGATTGCCAAGGGAGTTGTTTAATCAGGGGCGTGTGGTATCATGCAATCGCACAGCCGCCGTGGAAGCGTGTCGGAGGGGGCGCAGAAAACAGCGGGAGCATGTGTCTTGTGATTTAACACATGTCCCCAATGCCAAGGCGGCTTCGTTGCTGTCCCCGCGAAGTTCCGTAAGAGCCTTCTCAAAACCTCCTGGGCGCATCGGGTTGGTTCCACATGTTCCGAATTTGGAGGCAGAGTGTGATGTGCATTGTTTGTTGCAGGGATGGTTGGGGGGGGTGATGATTGGGTCGGCATTGTTCCTGGTCGGCTGCCGGTCGCCTTGGGGAGGGGGTGTAGGTTAACAGGTCAGAGTGATGAACCCTTCCCCAGAGCAGGGGAATGGGTGAGCTTTGACAAAAAGAAAACACATTTCGTTTAACCACCTGTGCCGAGTGGGCTGGTGGGATTCGCGATGTCGTTGCCTGGTGTGCCGCTCCGGCCGCCCTGCCAGCGCTGCGACTAAAAAACAAAACTTGGCGAATTGAAGCAGTCGCTCGTGCGCGGCCACGCTTCCGACGACATGGCGAGAAAAAACATGTGCCGCGGCTAAGAAGGAAGGCGAGTTTGACCAACATTCTCGGTTTTCAGGCGATCGCAGGAGTGCGCTTGCTCGAGCGCGGCCCCGCATGCGACGACTTCTTGGGCAGAATATTACGCGCGTGGCGCCCAAGCGGAAATGCAGCTTAGTGGAAACATTTGCGCGGCGCTTAGGCGAGAAGGACGGAACGTACGTTTTCTCGCGTGCGGTCTCTCTTTTGACCATTTACCGAACGAGAGATGGGCCGCGCATTGGGGGAGTGGCGCGGCGTGCATACAAAAAAAACGAGGGAGGGCATGATGCGCGTGCGCGGGCGATGCTCTGGATCCGACGGGTTGGGTGAATGAAAAGCGCGCGCCGAGCCCAGGCGGGAACGCAATTGTCACAAATACCTTTCGTGGTGCAGAGACGACCACAATATCTTCCCGTGACGCTCGCGAGACTAGATGCGCCCAGTCCCGCCCTGAATCTTGGCGCGTTGATGGCAGCACGCCGATGTAGGAAAACAGACGTTGACACCGTATTCTTGCTTATACGTCGAATTGGGAGCCCGCTGCGGTCCCCTCACATGACAATTTCGATGGGAGTGGGAGTAGATAACACACGATAATCATGCGCTTGTGTGGATGGCTGTCCATGTACGAGTAGGAGACGGACCAGGATGACAGCAAGGGGTGCGGGAAGACGAACGTCAGGAATCGTGTCGGTGGAAGGAGGAACATAGTGACACGAGGTAGCAGGAGAAGGAGAAACGGTGGGATCATCAGCAGAATCATGATCAGGATCACATGGAAGAGGAGGGGGAAAGTGCCAGTGCACAGGTACGGATTATGAGAAACAGGATGATGATGATGATGATGATGATGATGATGATGACGACGACGACGACGACGACGATGATGATGATGATGATGATGATGATGATGATGATGATGAGGATGATGATGATGACGATGCTGCTGCTGATGATAACAAGTGCTTGCACGGATTTGTCAGTGCAGAATGAGTGCTCGCCGTCGCATCAATGTATCATACTGTTGCTTTGGGCTCAAGTTTTTGTCATGAGTCTTTCGTCTCACGTTCCTTCTGAAGCGGTCCGGGGGATATCCATCGTTCCGGCCATCTGGCTGCCTGTCCTCAGTGTCTACCGTGCAGTCTCTCTCTGACGTGTTCGGGGCTGCCCTCGAGCTCCGAGTTGGTCTGTGCATACGGAGGGTCCTCTTCCCCGCTCTGGGTCTGCCTGCAGCCTGGCTTCCTGCTCGTGCTGGGCGTGTGCATTGGTGAGCCCGTCGTCGGTCACATTGCCACGCTGACCGCCTCGTTCGGTGAAGCAGTTCGTACCCAGACGTCCGACTTGAGGAGCCGTCGTGCTTCCGCTAGATGATCATGGCTCTGGCATTGGCACCTGGACTCCTTACTCTGGTTCGCTACGGTGTCCTGGGACCAGAAGTGTGGCATGAACTACTGGTCGCCGTTTTACATACTATACTTGTCGCCGTCCGTGTTCTCATCACGCACGATTTCGATTCTTTTGACAGAACCGCCGAGGATATGCGCTGACGTGTCGGTGGGCGATACATGGACACGCGGGGGACGGCTCCGGCAGAGACAGCCGGGTGGGCCAGATGCGGTGTCCGCGGCGTGCCTTGATCAAACTCGTGCCGATCAGTTTGCTGAGGAAGGGCTGACCAAGTCGGGCTACCTTCCCCTCTGCCGTCGTTGGGCGGCGTCGGGGTCGGCGCAGCTCCTGGAGTTCCACGTGGGAGGATCGTGGCCCCGCTGTTTGCGGGGTGTGTCACCGGCCTCGGGGCGCTGGTGCTCGCAGCTGCCGTCGCCCTGATCTGGTTCGAAGTTGCCGTGCGGGCGAGGGGCCAGGAGAGCGACCTGGTGTGTGCCGTGCTCTTGGCGGGAGCCGCGCAGCTGGGCGACAGGATCGCCGTCATGACTGCCCAGGACGGCTTCGCCGAGGGCCTGATGATTGACAAGGCGGCGACGTGTCTGTGGCAGGGCATCAGCCGCACGTGCGCCGTCCGCTTCGACCAGCAGAGTGATCGCCGATGTTGTTTTGAGGACATGGACGCCGACAGTTTGGAGGTCAGCCTCGTGGGGGGCTTCCCCGTCCGCGGCCTTCGCCACACTCTCTGGACGATCAAGTTCACGCAGGACCATAGCGGGGCCGTTTTAGCGGCTCCCAGGCAGTGGGTGCATGTCACTCGTGCGCCGCCCTGCCATAGGTCGGTGTACGAACATGGCGCGAGGTCTCGGGTCTTCGACGCAGTGCTCACGATCGATCAGGAGAATGATCCAGCTTCTTTGTCGATGGACTGTGCCCGCTGGCGCCTCGCTCTCATCAAGGAGGAAGTACGCTTGTGCCCGAGTGCGCCCGCCTACTTTTACCGAGGACAGCTTCACAGGCGCCCAGCATACGGCCATACAAACGCGGGTGAACGTCGCCATCGCGGAGGAAGTCAAGCAGGTCAGGAAACCGGGGACCACCAAGATCAAGAATGTCAACGGCGGGGGGAGGGATGATGATTCCTCCCGCAGCTCATGACGCTGGGAGCTCCGCGGAGCAGGTCTCTTGGGTCGTCTGCTCCGCTTGCTCGCTGGCCCTCTTTTCGAGCCACCTTCGCTGACGGTGGTCTTCGCGATTTTCGGTTTGTCCCCAGGGAGCTGCTCCCGTTGCCCTTCTGGACGAGCCGGCCCCGCGCGCGCCACAGAAGGCGCGTTCCATACAGCAGCGCATCAGACGTCGAGTTGATCGTGGCCGCCAGGCCAACCACATCACTGCCGTGCTTAATGAGATGTGCGGGCCCTCATCTGCGTCTACTTCTACTTTTCCCAGGAGCGCGGCCCAACGCGAGGCTCAGCACACAAGTTTGTCTGACGTGGGCGATCTCGCCCAGCCCGCGCACTCTCGTCGACGGGAAGCCGGTCGCGAATTTCCCCGCTCCAGCCTCGGTTGCGATCGTGACGAGGCTCCTAATCCACGGTGCCATGTCGAGCGGGCTTGGTTGTTTCCCGGACGCTCTGGAGCGGCGCCCTCAAGTGGTTGATGACCTAGATCTTGTTTGTGTTCGGCTTCTCCGTAATCTCGAGGCGACCATGATGATTGACGATCAGGCGCGCGTCGCGCTGATCGAGAATGGCCCTCGCTTCGCGCTGTGGATCCGCGGCGCGACAAGTCTCTAACCGAGTGCGCCGATTTCCTGAGGCGTCTCTCGGAATCGCGACCCTCTAGATCTAGTGGCACCATTGTTTGCCCCATAGAAATCTGGGGCTCAGCGCGTTGCGCGAACTTGTCGAGGTGCGAACCGCCGTTTTTGGAAGTGCCCACCCTTGCGGCCTGCCTCGGGCGCGACGTGGATTGAAGTTGAGGTGCAGGAAAATGACCAGATACGTGGCCCAGGTAAAGTACTTCTACTACTTGGGGACCCCGAAGAGCCTGGCCAGGTATTTCTCGCTTCCTGCTGCCGATGAGGACCTGGCGCGTGATCTGGGGACCCTGCCACCTACGCTCAGGTGTCTCAGAACTGGCCAGACGGGGTTTATCCATGTTTGATGGCGGCCCCGATGGGGTGGTCTTGGGCACTGCAGGTCGCCCAACGATCAATCCATCATCGGGCGCGTGAGAGTGTGGTCTTCTCTCCAGAGCAGGTGTTGTGTGACTCGCTTCCTGCTCCTCGCCCCGCCCCCGGTCGGCCCCTGTTGCTGACGCGCGCCGATGACCTCAACGTCGCGAACACTAATCCATACGAAGCAGGGGAAGCCAGGGGCCGACTCCAGGAACACCTCGAGGCACAAGGTTTCAAGGTTCATGACCTCGTGCGACCCTCTGTCGAGGTTGCGTCGCCTGGCTATCGGATACGCGGTACTCGGCGACTGGTATGTCCCACCGCCGAACAGATTGAGCAAATACATCGCGCGGGAGCGCGGCTTTCTCGTTGCCCGAGGGCGACTGGGGAAGAAGTTGAGAGGCCCCTGGGTCGGCGCGCGCATGTCGGTCTGCCTCGGCGGGAGACGCTCTCGATATGTTGTCGCATCTACCGCTTTATTGCCGACAGCTATGAATCCAGGAAAAAAGGCTTTGGGGCAGCGCCGCTCAGGAGATCAGTTGGTGGATCGCGCTCTTGCCGCTATGAGCTACTAGATTCGATCGACCATGGTCCTTTACTATTACATCTTCAGATGCTTGCCCTAGCAGCTAGGCCGTCTGCTCCAGGAGGGTCGACGCGGGGGGGGGGGGGGGGGGGGCGCGCTCGCTGCGCTGCCCGCTCGTCGTGCTAGGGCGCGCGCCCCATCGGTGCCCGACGTCTTTAACGAGCCCGAATCCGCCCGCCGATCGCGCTCGAAGGCCCGATGACGCGATTCGAAGCGAGCCCGGACTTCGTCGAGACCCCTTCGTCGCTTCTTCGGCCCGGAGAGTGGCAAGTACTGCGCGGCTCGTTTCGCCTGGCAGGTGGGCATCATGGTGCTTGATGTTTCACTGCGTCTTTGGCGTCTCGTCACCTCCACCTCGGTGATAATCTCGGCCCGGCACTTGCGCTCGATAAGGGCGAGGCGGCCAGTCGCGGACTCCTCGGATGTTGCCGCCAGCAGTGCGCGTTCACGCTGGTATCGGGCTGCTCGGCCCATCATCGGCGGCGCCCGACTATGCGGGACGCCGCCGACGAAGGCCCCCGTCTGTGGGAGGCAGACGGGCCGCTCCACTCGGCGCCCGCCACTGGCCTCGCGCCAGGCCCCTGCCGGGCAGACCGAACGAAGGAGACTGCCTGGCTCGCTGCTCATCGGCGGGGCACGCCCATGCTCAGGCTGGGCGGCTGCCAAACGGCCGACGCGGGCGGCCGCGGCGGCGGCCGCGTGGATGCCGCTCCTGCTGGTGATCCAGGGCCTCTAGCTGTTCGCCCGGCGCGCATGCCGCCCCGCGCTGACCGCCGAGCTGGCAGACCAAGCCCCCGCGAACCACGTCGAGGCCTGGTGCTCCGACGGGGGCGGCCAGGTCGACCTTGGGGCGGGCGCTCTACTTCGGCTGGAGGGCCGCCGCGCCGGCCTCCGCGAGTCAGCTTGGAGCCCTCGCACGGATGGGGAGGGACCTCCGCTCCAGGTCGAGGCAGCGCCCAGCCTGGGGTTGTCCTCCGAGACCAGACCTGACGCCGTGCCTGGGCGACTGCGCGGAGACGTCAATGGCCCTCCAGATGATGCCGGAGCAGCGGCGGCCGTCGAAGGCACTGCGCCAGCAGGCCGATGACGCGCCCCCCCCCCCCCCCCGCCTGTGCATCGCGGTGGGCGGCCTTCAGCCCCGACCTGAAGGCTCGGGAGACGTTGTCCAAGACGTTCGCCGCCGACGTGGGCATCATGCTGGACCGCCCGCAGCGCCAGTACGTAGCTGAGGCGGCGATATTCCTGTCCGCGCGAGCGGGGAGAGGCCCTGTCTACAGCATGACGGTGAGCCAGCCAAGCGAGAGGTTCGTGGCCTTCCAGCCTCGGTGCGACCTGGAGGTCGAGTACATCGGGTACCAGCTGCAGTACGAGGGCCCCGCGTACGACAGGCTCGACGGGCCGCAGTCTCCTTTCAGGATGCAGCAGCATCAGCAGGGCCTGCACGCATTCTCATCGCTGCAGGGGCCCCCGATGGCCTTGCTGAGCCATCGCAGGGGTCTATGCGATCGAGATTTTTTGCGGGCCCCAAGCACCTGTCGGCAGCCCTCGCCAGGCATGGGCGCACTACGCACACGTTCGAGCTCGACGACGACACGCCGCAAGATGTTCTCCGCCCCGGCAATCTTCAATGCCTCCTCAGCCTCATCCGTCGCCACGCGCGCACGCTGGTGTGGATGGGTACTCCGTGTGCCAGCTGGCCCAGAGCCTGCAGAGGCGGGGCGGGCCCTCCTCCCCTGCGCGACAGCTGTCAGGGCCTCTGCGGGCTTCCAGGGCTCAACGCTACAGACGCTCGGCGGGCGCTGCTGGGCAACAGGCCGATGAAAGTGTCCGCCCTCATCGCTCAGCGCGCCTCCGACAGCGACGTCCGCTGGGTGATGGAGAATCCCACGGCCGCGAGGCCCCCGCTGACTCGTGAAATTTCGCAGTTGAGAGTCCGCGGGGCGGGACCAGTGATCGATTGTTTTTGTCACTACGGCGTGCCTGGGCAGAAGAATTTAACTTTTCTCCGTGGTGGCTGCAGAGAGCTGTCTTCGCTCTTAAAATGCCACATCAAGCGTGGTCGATGTCCCGCTTCCAGCAAAACGCGAGCAGTGGGTGGGACAAGTGTCCGTTTGTTTTTTGCTCGTAAAGGTCATGCCCAGCTCTGTCCCGCGGCCTCGTGTAATCATATATGTCGGCTGCTTTTTCCTGCATAGGTCAAAGCCTGCGGCCAGGTCCAAAGTCGGGGGTGGGGATTTGCCTTTCAGCATTTGCCGGTCCTGCTCATTGCATCGTTGGCAGTGCCGGGCGCTAGCAGATATAATTGCCAGCGTGGCTGGCTCGCTGGCGAGGCAAAGAATGTAGCGGGTGACATAGCAAGTGTTTGCACGGATGTGTCAGTGCAGAATGGGTGTTGGCCGTCGCATCAGTGTATCATACTGTTGTTTTGGGCTCAAGTTTCTGTCATCCCCGAGCCGACCCCATCTACTCATTTGTTTACGCGTGCCCTGCGGGGGTTTCTTTGTTCAGCATTTACAGGTCCTGCACATTGCATCGTTCGTAGTGCCGTGTGTTAGCGGATCTTGAACTGCCAGCTTGGCTGGCTCGCTGGCGAGACAGAGAATGTAGCGGGTGACATGAGAATGCTTGTGGTGATGGTGTTGATGATGCCGGTGATGATGGTGACGGTGATGATGACGATGGTGGCGATGAAGAGGATGGTGGCGACCGCTGTAAACCTAATACCCAGCTGCGATGCTGGAACGAACCCTCCCTCCAAGCTCTGCCCTCGCAGGCCCCTGTTTACAAGGGTCCAGTCTCACGGATGGAAGTGCCCCACTGGAATGCAATCGTTTGAACCTCCTGAATTGCACCAGAACACTATCCATGGGACTTCAACGCCGCGAATCAACGTTACTGCAGCGTCTTGGCGGTCCTGAACCGCGCCCGAATAACATTCCTGGGGCTCCAACGCCAGCCATCAATTCAACTGTTGCGCCCTGACACATAAAAACACAATTTCTAGGACGGTGGCCATTTGAATCTTTGGAGCGGTTCTAACCTCGTAGCATGAATGTGCATGGCGCGAAGGCGGGAAACGCATTTTGAAAAAGAAACCGCCCTCAATCCGCGAAGTTCTTGCAATTTTGTATGACGAATGCTCGCGGCGCTAAGGCAAGAACTGCGTGTTGAAAACCACAGGGCTTCAACTTCCGCAAGTGTTGCAATTTTGCATGGGAAGTACGTGCGGCGCTGATGCGAGAGCCACATTGTGGAACGACCCGCCCTCCATCCGTGAAGCTCCTGCATTTTTAAACGGATGTCCGTGGCGCTAAGGCGAGAGCCACATGTTCAAAACAACCCGCCTTCAATCCGTGACGTTGCTGCAGCGTTTTAGGACCGATGTGCGAGGCGCTACGGCGAAAACCACATTTTGAAAACCACCCGCCTTCCATCTGTGAACGTGCTGCAAATGTCAAGCGTCAGGATCACAATTGGTGAAGAAGTCTCAGGCGAAAAGCCTGGCCCGCCCGTCCGATTGGCTTCGGGGTGCGGCAAGGGGGTTCCACCCATGAACAAAAGTTGATGTATGATGTTGGTGACGATGAGGATGATGATGACGATGCTATGATAATGATTGGAATGCTGCTGATGATGATGATGATGATGATGATGGTGGTGATGGTGATAATGATGGTGATGCTGATGATGATGCTGATGATGATGATGATGATGATGATGATGATGATGATGATGATGAGGAGGAAGTGTAAGAGCAGGAGCGGATGCAGGAGGGGCAACATGGGGGCAAGCAGAAAGAAAACGCGGAGGAGAAGGAGGAAGAGAACAAGGACGAGGAGGAGGCTAGGAACGATGACGATAGCGGTTACGAAGACGATCAGGAGGATGAGGAGGAGGAGGAGGAGGAGAAGGAGAAGGAGGTGAGGAGGGACGAGGTGGAGAGGATTAGGTGGAGGCGGAGGTTGAGCCCACCTTTTTGAAGCGCACCCGTCCAGGCTGGGCGGCGCTATGGGACGGGATGGTCGTGCACGCGGGGGACGCGGCCGCGGAGGGAACGACCCACAACAGGCCGCGCGTCCCTGCGTAGCCTAGGGTGCCCGACCTCCCGCACGCTGACGTCGGGAAGCACACGTGAAAATTGTTCAGAGTTCTTCTGGTTTTCTTGATCGTCTACGGCAGTTTTGAACGCCAGGGCCACCGTTTTGCATTCGATGGTTTCGACTGTTCCAACCAACTGCTTCTCGCCACGAGCGTTCTGGGGGCGCTGGGGCGAACCAAAATACCTCAGGTGGCTTGAAAGGCCCGTGAAGCTTTAGTCAGGAGTGTTGAACAACTCACGACGGGTGGGTACTGTCTCATCCCGCCTTTCTCCGTGACCGTCTCTTCCTCGTCAGCTTCTCCTCATACTTCTCCTTTCTCCTCCCATCCTCCTTCCCTTCATCGCCGTATTCCGACTCATTGACCGTCTTCTCCTCCTCCTCCTCCTCAGCAGCAGCAGCAGCATCATCATCGTCAGCATTCTTGGCGACATCATCGTCGTCCTGCTCCTGATATTGCTGCCCTCCTCCTCCTTTTCCTCCTCTTTCCCGTCGCTCCTTGAAACCTGCAGCAAGGGCACACGGTCGAGGGGAGGTATTGCATGTACACCTTGGCTCCATCGCCACTCGAGGCTGAGTGCTCGTCACGCAAGCTTGCTGGTACGTCCGCCCTTGCTGCCACAGCTTGAGGTTACCTGCCCACCCTTCGGTCTGCTCGCTCCAGAGGTCCCCCCTTGGGCTTCTCCTCCCGCCCTGATTTTGGTTTCATGTTACTATTGTTGCTTATGTCTCCTCGATCGTCGCCGCCTGCGAGGCGAGGCTGGCTCCGAAACAGAGAATGCCGATGCCTAAGAAGGCAGGGGGGCCGCAGCTGGAATTACCGTCGCTTCTGCGAGTGGTCCGGAGCGCCCTGTCCCTGCTGGAACTACAGCCGCCCAATCGTTGTGCTAAAGGATGAAAAGTTCATTGCTGAAATACGTGCTCGCGCCAAGTTTTCGGTGCAGAACCGCCAGGGCACACGCGCGCCCAACGGGGCTGGCACCCGCGCGCGATTGGAAAAATTACGCGAGGGCGCGGTCGCCCTAAATATCGCCTTACACAGCGCCCGTGCGCTCGACTCACCAACTCACCAAACCATCGCTCACTACGGCTGCGCAACCGACGCAAACGCATCATGCACGACGCGCTTAGGCGCATGGCGTGTTTAACAACTACAAAAACCACATTCGCGTTTCAGGAAGAAGGCCCGAGCTTGCAAGGGCACATCATGCATGCCAGAAAGACAAGGACTGAGCCGACACTGGCCCGGCCTGTGCGATACCTTGTTCATCACTACACCAAGAGCACTCGCAAAATCAGTGCCACGCAGAGGCACGGAGGCAAGGCAAATTTTGTTTTCTATCCGCGCAGACTCGGAGCTTGGACACTGCCACCATTCCCAAGGCGACGAAGGCCCACGGAACTATCTCATTCTGTCCAGGGCTGCGCGCTGGCGACTTCGAGGGTGCGGCCTTCCACGAGTAGTGGAAGAAGTGAGCGGACGAGGTAAAAGAGCAGGGGGGCAGATAGAAAGGGGAGCAGCAGGCAGGCAAGTGAACGGACAATGGGGGCGGAACCATTCACTTGCCATGGAAGCAGTCTGCTATCCGCGACCGTTCGGAGACCTGAACGGCCACGCGAATCTCGACTGGGCACCCCCACCAGAGGACGGCCCGAGAGGGCCCCAGACAATCCCAAGACAGCTCCAATACGGCCCCAAACGGCCCCCCAAGAGGGGCCCAAAACGGCCCCCTATGATCTCGTGCCAGGAGGCCTTTGGCATGGGCATAGTTGGGCGCCCCCCCCAGCCCGGCCCTAAAAACTGCCTGGAAGGGCACCTGACAGCTGCGAGAGAGCCCCAAGAAGAGCCCAAGATGGCCCCAAGAGGGAGCCCAAATTGCCCCCCACGATATCATGCCAAGAGCCCTTGCTGTGATGCGTCGGGGGTCGCCTTGAAAGCCCTCTCAGGGCCTTCGGGGGCATTCTCGGCGCCCTCACCGGGCCCTGGAGACAGTCCAGGAGGGTTCCAAGAAAGGCACGAAAATATCCATAAAGGCCCGCAAGGCCCCGAGCGAGATCATGCGAAGAGCCCTTGGTATGATATCGCTGAGGGCCATGTTGGAAGCCATCTCGGGGCCCTCCTGGGCCCGATCGGCCCCCCCCCCCCCTTATCAGGCCCCAAAGACAACCTGCGAAGGCCCGGAACAGCCCCGAGATATCCGCAAAGGCATAGATCCCCCGTTCGCTTGAGATTGCGAACTTTAACCGCGCAGCTTGCGCCGCATTGGCTTTACAAACAAAATGAGAATAACCGCTGCTCGGAATCCATGACGGCAGACGCGTATGTTCCATCGACTTTTGTCGGGGGCATCGCCCGGCTCCTCTTGGAGCGCCCCGTCGAGGCTTCTCGGGATCAGCTGGGCCATCCTTGGGCAATTATCGAAGCCCGCGGGGCCTCCGTGGGCCGGCGTTCGATGGCTTCTGGGCGTTTTCCAAACGAGTTCGGGCGGTAACTGGCTGTCTCGGAGAAGCAAAGGAGCCAAAAGAAACCGGGCAGCAACGCTTTGGGGGGGGGGGGGGGGGGCGATTTCCGAAGGGCACGGGCAAATTGCAAGCGCACCAGCCCTTAGACAACCATGGGCACCTGGCGAGACACTAGGAGTCAGAAGCAATCGTTCACGCCCCATCGCGCCGCAGGCGTGGCGGCGGATACCTCATGGGGGAGTTCGTCGGGGAACCTGGAGGTCGCCAGGGGCGGGGCAGGAGAGGGCGCGGGGTGGTCGCCCCGGGACGAAAGCCGCAGAACCACGCCGGAGTTCGCGGTCTGATTTGATGACCCAGCGGCGCAATGCGTCAACATCAGAAATTCGCCAGGCCGTTTTTGAGTTTCTGTTGAACGATTGGGCGGGGTAGAAATCATGTTGAATTTGGGCGCTAACGCTATCAGAACTGGTTATGGGCGTTTTGGAATTTGGGCGGCTGCCCAAGAAATTTGGGCGGCGCCCTCAGAGATTTTATGGGCAGGGGCCTTGTGGAACTTGGGCGGCCTGGTTGAATTTGGGCCCCCCCCCCCCGGAGATTTGAGCGGGGTCCTCGGGATTTTTTTGGCGAGGCCCTTCTGGAAGTTCAGCGGCCCCGCTGTGGAGTTTCGACGGCGCCTCAGGAGACTTCGTTAGCGCCCGCGGGAGCTTGGGCCTCGAACTGCCGACGGGCCTCGAACTGCCGACGTGGTCCGGGGGCCTGGTGACCCTCGCGGGCACGGCGGGCCCCGCCCCCGCTCGCCGCGGCAACGCCGCCTCGCGCCTCGCGAAGAGCGTGGCATCCGCTCATCCGTTGGCGATACCCTCGCGTTCTTCCGCAGCCCCCTCGCGATATCCGTCCTCGTCGCCCCGCCTCTCCTCGCCCTTCCTCCTCCAGCTCTTCCACCCTGCCTATCCTTGCCTCCTTCGGGGCGAAAGTGAGCGCCGGGGGGCAGGGGTGGGGCGGGGCTGCCAGCGGGGGCGGATGGGGGCAGGGGGGGGGATGGGAGGACGAGGACGTGGGAGGCGGGAGTAGGAGGATGGAGGATGCGCGCGAGGAGGGGGAGACGGTGGACGGGGAGGACGAATATGAACGGGAGGAGGAAGAGAAGGAGGGGTGGGGCAAGAGGACGACAATGGGGGAGGGAGGAGGACGAGGAGCAGCAGGAACACATAAGTGGAGGAAGAGGAGGAGGAACGTGGAAGAGGACGCGGAGCAGAATCCGGGGGAAGCGGAGGAGACGGGGAGGATAAGAAGGGGGAGGGATGCGATGACGAACTCTTCGTCGTCTTCGTCGTCATCCTCCTCCTGCCCCAGTCTGGCCGGCTCGGGTGAACCACTAGCAAGTATTGTCGGGTTTCCCGCCAATCGCGGACGTTGTCACGGTTTCCTCTGTCGTGGTGCCTTCTCCTCTCTGAGCGTTGTCACAATTGTCGCCGTCGGCAGCCGATAAGGACTGGTGCGGGAAGGGTGATGGAGACTGGTGATCATAGCGTTGGGGCGTGATTGACAGAAACAGGGCGTGGTCGTCTTCGCCCTCTCACTGTACTGCCTCCTCTTGTCGTGAGGCTGATATTTGTTGGCGCCGAGCTTTCCACGGTGACAAATACTGATTGTGATGTTCACGGTTGCTTTCCTGTCGGCATTGCCATTGGATGGCGCTACACATTGCAGCCCGCAGTGAAACGGTCATGAGATCGGTGGTAATCGATAGTGAGACAGATGATGGGATTGATCGTGGGATCTCTAGCCAAATCTATAGTGATATCCATAGTGAGATCGGTCGTGCAATCGATCATGAAATCGATCGTCATTTCGATAGTCGGGTAAATCGTGAGATCGATCATATAATCAATAGCGAGATCGATCGTGAAACCGAGAATGAGATCGATGGTGAGATCGATAGTGAGATCAACAGCGGGATCGATAGCGAGACCGACAGTGAGATCGATCGTGAGATCAATAGTGAAACTGCTAGTGAGACCGAGTGTGATATGTATGGTGGTACCGATTGTGAACTCGATTGTGAGAGGCATCGTGGGATCGATTGTGATATCGATAGTGAGATCGCTTGTGAGGTCGATAGTGGGATCGATCGTGAGATCGAGTGTGAGATCGATGGTGACATCGATTGTGAGATCGATCGTGAAACTGATAGTGGGATCGGTCGTCCGATCGATAGTGAAATCGATTGTACCATCAATTGTGAGATCGGTAGTCGGATCGATAGCGAGACCGATCGTGACATCAATAGTGGGATCGATAGTAGTATCGATCGTGAGATCGATCGTGAGACCGATAGCAAGGTAGATTGAATGAGACATGGGTTTCTCCCCCGACCCCCGAATTTCCTTGTCAACCGAAGGTTGGACGTATGGATATATCCACTGGCCCCCTTGTGGGGCCACCAGGCTGTAGGCCGAAGTTGTTGCTCCATGCGCCAGTTGCAGCTTCAAGGCTCCAATGGTACAG